TAGGTTAACATGATTTCTTTGGATTTTCTGTTTTGTTTTGTTTTTAATTAATTTTTTAGGTTAGCACACAAAGTAACAGGCTTCATCAAAGAGGCTTCATACTTATGTGTTCTTACACTTTGTTCTCCTTCATTCCCCTCCCTGGTGGCCTTCCCTAGCTGACCTCCTTTCTTCTTCAAGTTACTGCCTGATGCTGCTTTCTTATTATATGTATTCAAAATATTTTAGTGGGTTTTTCAAAAGTAGAATTTGTTGCTGCCTTGCAGTTGTTGTTGAGACAGGGTCCGATATGAAAATGATTGAATTGCTTTATTTTCGAGACAGAGTTGAAGGGACCAGCTCCCCATTTCGGCAGCCATGACAGTAACATGTGCTTGTTATGACCTTGCCTTGGTCACTTAGAGGTCAGATGCCTGCCTTGTGGCAAGGAACCAATCAGAAGTTAGCTGGTGGTGCTATGCTTTATGGCTCTGGGTGTGCTTTACGGACAAGCGCACAGCAATGACGCACAGAGCATAGCAACCACCCTGGGAGGGCCATAACAACCAGTTAACCAATCAACACAGGGCAAACCCTCCAAGCCTGGAGGCACACCAATCCTGAGCCTCTCCGTACCCCTAGACACTCCCCTTACGCTGCCCTATAAGATCTCCATGCAGCCTCTTCGAACTGTCTTTGCTAGCCATCCGCCATGGTGGGTGGATGAAAGACCCGAGCTAACATGGAGTTAGCTCATTAAATACAATAAAGCCTCATGCAGTTTGCATCAAGCTTTTGCCTCTGCCTGGTGATTGGGGTGGCCGAGGTCTTGGGCTAAGATCCTGGAAGCCTGAGCTTTCTGGAGGTCTTACAGAGTCTTATGCACCCCAGGTTAACCTCGAACTGGCAATGGCATTGCTCCTCTTGTCTCTGCCTCTCAGGTGCTTGCACCGCAGACATACACCACCGTGCTGGATTTATGCAGTGCTGGTGATCCAACCCCTTGCTTTGGCCATGCTAAGCAAGCATTCTACCAACTGAGCTATGTCCTCAGCCACTATTGTTCTGATTTAGTATGTCATATGAAGCATAGTACTTCCGTTCCAGTTTTTCCCTATGTATGATTGATGGAAAATGATCATGAGACAGATAGCAGCTCCAACTTCAATTTGATGGAATTCTAAAATTGTGCTACCCTCAAATGGAATAATGTCTTCAAGGGCTGCTGTCACAGTTTAAGAAATTGTGACATCAAACTGCCAAACACTCCTCAGTAAGCTCTGCTCTCCACCCAATAAGGGTTCCTCTCTCAGAGACACCTCCCACTGTTGTGGTCTGGATTCCTGAAGCATGAGGAGTTTGTGGGCTGGAATTAGATTGAGAATCTTGAAGGAGAGTGTTCCTTTTTGCCTCTCCCCCACACAATATATATTCTGGAACCTATGATCAGTGGCAGCCCAAGGTCATTTAACCTCTTTGAAGGTGAGGCCAGTAGTTTATATTGTGCTTTCTGTAGAGAAGTTTCTAATGCCTTAAAAAGTCATCCAGGGGCTAGCGAGATGGGTCTGTACTTAAGAGCACTTGGTGCTCTTGCAGAGGACCTGAGTTTGGTCCCCAGAATCCACATGGTGCCTCACAACCATCCGTAATTCCAGTCTTAGGGAATCCATAGCAAGCAAAACATTTATATAATAAAATAAAATAATAATTAGAGAAGACTTTTACAAATATCATCTAATAGTAGGGATGTAGCATTTGCTAGCATGTGCAAGGTCTTGGGTTCAATTCCTAGAAAAAAAATCAGCTAATAACTCTCACCAGGGCTGTTAGACACATTTGGAAACGTGTGGGAAGCATGTTGGTTGCCACAGTGACTAGCAGGCAGGAGTGGGGGAAGGAAGATGCATTTAGAATTCAATGGGATAAAACAAGGGATGCTAAAATTTCCTACCATGTAGAATAGCATTATGAATAACAAAGAATTGTCCAGACCTAACATCTGTCACATTCCCCTTAAGAAATGTTTGTTCCTCCAACAGCCACTGTGGAAGTCTGGCAGGGCTGCTTAAGTGGATCTTATAGAGGTACAGCAGGTCTACCATCCTCTGTGTGGTGACAAGCGCATCTCAGGAACTCCTCCAGGCTGTGCAAATCTTAAGCCCATTTCTCCTCTTCCAAGTCCTTAAGAAAGGCAGGCAAAGCTGGCTGTCCTTCAAATACATCATTTGAAGGGCTGTGTAAGTTCCAGGGTACATATGAAAACCCCCACTATTAAACTAATCAGGCTTGTGAAACAGTCTACACATGAAGGCTGACGAAGGGGTTCAACAGAGTCCAAAAAATATATTTAAAAATTAAATATTGTTTCTAAAAACATACTTTAAAATATAATGTGTTATATTTGATGGGTAAAAACAGTACAAATGATAACATGAGTTAATTTATCAAATTATCTGGTCTCAAAGAAAATAGATTATAAACAATGAGTAGTGACTTGAACATAGGAAGAGAAGAAACTGGAATATGGACTGAGATATGAAAGTAGGAGAAAAGAGATACCCAATGTTGCCACATTATCCTGCATTGTCACTGCCATAAGCTTTCTAAAAAGAAATGTCAATATAACCTGCCCTTTTCAAGTGTAACATCACCATTCCTACCTGTGCGTCTCCATGAGGCTTTACAAAATGAGAGTTCGCTAAGCTTTGACAGCTCCTGCTACCCCAGATGGGTTTTCCAAAAGCTACCAGGATCCAGGTCCCATGTTAGACATGCCCACACAATGACTTGTTTGTGTTTTAGGTTCACAGTACAATTTTTATGAATACGACCAAGCACACAAGTTGCTTTCTTTTCTCAGGAGGAATGCTTCCAGGTGTTTCAGAGGAAACTGGACCTGGGTACAAATGAAGTGGACTTTAAACTCTACTTCAGCACAGTATTTGAAGAGATTAGGTCCTGTGCTCTTATTTTATGAGGAGCCATACAACTTAAGACTTGAAAGAAAGTAAATGAAAACGAGCTTGTCTGAGTAGGACTGTGGATCACACTGAATCTTGGTGCTTTTCCTCATCTAACATGATGTTCTCAGGCCGGGTGTAGGTGGCTCACACCTTTTATCCCAGTACTCAGGAGGCATTTTAGAACAAGGTCTTACTAGTGTAGCCTGGCCTTGAACTCACACTCCTGTTTTCACCCCTAAGGACTGTGGCTACAGGCATGTGCCACCATATACCCAATAATTCTTTACTTATTTATTTGATTTTTTTGAAACAGGTCTCCTACTGCAAAGTCTTAGCTGGCCTGTAGCTCACTACATAAGCCACTCTGGCCTTGAGCTTGTGGTGACCCCGACTCTTCCCAGAGTTCAGGATTATAAGCTCATGTCACTGTACCCGGCAAGACGATTCTTTTCTTTTTCTCTTTCCAACCAATTTCTTAAAAACTTTACTGATATTCAGTAATATGCTTACAAATCTTATTTATTCATTTATTTTACATCTTGAATGCAGCTTCCCCTCCCTCCTCTCCCCCTAGTCAGTCCATGTCTCTTCCTCCACCACACTTCCACCCCCCCACTATCCCCCATGCCATCCCATAACCCACTCTTCCTCTGGTTTCTCTTCAGAAAAGGGCAGGCCTCCCACGTATATCAGTCAGCCATGGTATATGAATTTGCAGTGAGTCTAGGCACCTCCTCTTCTATTGAGTCTGGATGAGGCAACCACTAGGAGGAAAGCATCCCAAAAGCAGGTAATAGAGTCAGAGACATCCCCTGCTCCCTCTGTTAGGAGTCCCACAAGAAGACCAAGCTACACTACTGTAACATGTGTGCAGAGGTTATAGGTCGGTCCCATGTAGGCTCCATGGTTGTCAGTCCAGTCTCTATGAGCCCCTATAAGCCCAGTTAGTTGATTCTGTGGGTTTTGTTGTGATGTCCTTGACCCTTCTGGCTCCTACAATCCTTTCTCCCTCTCTTCTGTAGGATTCCCCAAGCTCTGCCTAATGTTTGGCTGAGGGTCTCTGCATCTGTTTCCATCCGTTGCTAGGTGAAGGCTCTCTGATGACAATTGGGCTAGGCATCATCAATCTATGAGTATAGCATAATATCATTAGGAATCATTCCACTGACTTTTTAAAAACTTTTTGCCAGTCATGTTTGGTTCTATCTCGGGTCCCTGGGTTATCCAGCCTCTGGGTCCTGGCCCTCCAGGAAGTGTCAGGGGTGAGCCCCTTCTCATGGCATGGGTCTCAAGCTGGGGCAGTCATTGGTTGGCCACTCCCATAATTTCTGTGCCACCTTTACTCCAGCACATCTAGTAGGCGGGACAAATTGTAGGTTGAGGGTTTTGTGGAACAGTTGGTGTCCCAATCCCTCCACTGGAAGGGCAAGATGATACTTAAATATAACGCAAAGGTGACCAAGACTGAGTGTTTTGTTTATTTGACATGTTAAAGCAGATGAAGCTCTATGTTAAATCCCGTTGCTTATATCTTGTTTTCAATCACAGTACATACACCTGGAAGTCTTGAAAATGCACCCTTTGTAAATGATTTGTATTAGGTTTATTTATTTGTGCAGGGGCTGGGGTGGGTGTATACATGCACATGTGTTATAGTGAGCATTTGTGTGTGTGTGTGTGTGTGTGTGTGTGTGTGAGTGTGTGTGTGTGTGAGAGAGAGAGAGTGAGATAGAGTGTATGTGTGTGTGTGAGAGAGAGTGTGAGAGAGAGAGTGTGTGTGTGTGAGTGTGTGTGTGTGTGAGAGAGAGTGAGATAGAGTGTATGTGTGTGTGTG